CTAGCATGTGTGAGGCACTGGGTTCAATTCTCAGCACCACATATAAATAAATAAGTAAAACTAAAGGTCCACTGTGACAACTAAAAAATATATATTTAAAAAAATATTTAAAAATCATTTATCAGTGTAGCAAATAAGAAGTAATAAAAATAAGATACAGTAAGATAATGTTAAGTAAAATATTAAGAAAATTGCATGGTGGATTTTTTAAATTATATCTAAAAGCTTAAAAATGTGGAAGTTCTTCATTGATCAGGAAATTTGAGGCATATGTGAATTTAAAAGTAATAAATAGAACAAAATCGAATTAAGACAAAGATCCTTTGAAGACAGCCTCTGCTGTCTTCTCCCCAGTGACAGGGACATGGAGCTGTATCAGGAGGGTAGCTTGAAAGATGACACTAGAATCCAGTCTGGAGATCCAGACTGCATACTCTAACCGCCCTGCTACCTCACCAGCAGGCATCGGAGCAAACTGGGCCAAATATAAATGAGTAATCAAACATTTAATGCCACCTTCTGTGAGGCAGTACTACAGAGCTAACTGACAGGACTTTCTTACTCATTCAGCCCCTTCCTTAAGAAGATGGAAGCACTGACAACCAGAGTTGTAGCATTTCTATATTATAACAGCATCTAGCTCCTACAAACTCTGCTCCTCTGGCCCTTTCTAAATGGCAATCAGCATCAGCAGGGGACTTACTCTCAACTGCTTTGCTATTTAATGTTTCAGATAGAGTTTCACATGATGAATTTGAAAAAAGAATGTTTAGTTTAGATAAAATTTTTAAAAGCCTATTCAGTTGTAGCTCAGGAATCGTATTCTGCACAGATCTTAATAGCCTTTAAAAGACAAATCCCCAATATTTTATTTATATGACTTTTTTTCAAATCACTCTTATTAGGGGTTTCTAGAGATGTTAATCAGTCACCATGCTGCCATTTTTAGTAGAGGTTTAGTAAAAGTGTTAAATTTAAATACATATTTATATGGGGTGCACACACATGTGTATATATGCATGTGCACACACACAAGCATACACATTCACAGCAAGGACTGTGCTCCCCTAACTCCAAATGAATTTAGACAACAAAGGCCAAGCAGTACATTCAATGAGTGAGATTAAAACTTAGATCTAATCTAACATTGGTCTTCCTCCTAAAAATATTATGGCTTCCTCTCTATATAGTTTATCATCATCACTGTCATCACCAGAAAGCAATAGCATAGACAGTACATTATGCTGATTAGTGTACAGGCCAGTGTGATTTATATGACATCAGAGAGAACAAGCAAAAACACCTAGAATGCCTACTAAGCTGTTAGTTGAAAAGTCAGACAAGCAGGCATCAAATTCAGATTTGGCAAAATAAACATTTGCAATAGTTGCGGAGTATTGTATTTTTGCATGTAGAGTTGAGGAAGCATACCAAAATACATGAAAAAGACATGATTTTTAAGAGGTTCTAAGGAGAAAAAGAAATGTAGAGAAGCACATTGGAAGATGAGACATAATCTCACCTAGGTTCATAAAATATGAGAAACTGGGATAGGAAGCTCTCAGGGTAGGACTCTCTATGCTAGACCCTTTAACTCATTATCTTGTTGAAGATACACATAATAGCTCTGGTTTTAGTAATAATAATCTCAATTCTTAAGGGCATTTGAGTTTGCTCTTGGCCAAAGAACTACAGATGGCTAAGCCAGGATTCAACCCAGACCCCACCTACTCAAAAACTCCAGCTCTTACACACTGGGCATCCTGCCATTCACGATGAAATGAACAAGCAAAAACTCCCACAGGAACATGCATTGCCTCCTCAGGAACTGGAGGAATCTCTGCAATAAGGAGAAATGACTGAGAGCAGAAAGTACTCAGTGGCCCGGCAGATAGAGAGGAAACAAAGTGCCTTTATTTGCCAGGGAAAGGATGAATGTTTCTGAAGGAAAAGCAAAGTCCAAATTGACCTTATGAACAAAGTGCTGGGGTCAAGTACTTGGTTACCAGGCAAATCTGGACTGAACTCAGGATGCTACAATACCCCCACTGCAGGAGCAGGCACTACAGACATCATAGCTGGATCAATATTTGCCATCCCTGTGAGAAGTTTCTTAACAAAAATAACAAGATTCAACATTTGTGTCCATCTGGATGTTGCAAAAATCAGGAAAGGTCAGTAAGAGGGCCCTAGAGAGATGTTTGGGTCAGCCACCAACCCAGAAAATGATAAGGCAGAGCTGAGAGCCACTACATATAGAAAAAAAAATAATAATGTTTTCTTCTCCCAAATCACTTTAAAATCATTTAAACAGATAAAAATACCAAAATCTTTCTTCATAAAATTTCCTTGTAAAGTTTAGAATGTGACTAATACATTTATGGAACCGATGGGCTGGCTAATGCTGGGATGGGGAAAACCAAGAGTGAAGGTCCGAGTTCCTCAGGAAAGTCTGCCTCTGAAGGAAATGCCTCCAGTAATAATAGTCAGCACCTGTGAAGCAGGAGGCAGACATGGAGCAAACCAAAATCTCTGTGAGAGCTACACAGGGAAATCAAAGATAAAGTACTGTTGAAGATGAGAGAAAAGACGATCGATCAAGAGCTCTTGGTTTTCTCTATACAGGTTGAATATCCTTTATCCAAAATGCTTGGAACCTGAAGTGTTTCTGATTTCTAATTTTTTTTTTAATTTTTGGAATATTTGCATACGTATAATAAAATCAGGGGTTGGGACCAAGTTTAAGCATGGAATAATTTATGTATCATACACACTTACTAGCCAGGGTCTGGATGTAATTTTGTTCAATATTTTTAATAATTTTGTACATGAAAATTACGTTTCGCAGTGCGGAATTTTCCACCTATTGTCTTGTGTTGGCACTCAAAAAGTCGTGAATTTTAGAGCATTTTGGATTTCAGATTTTCAGATTAGAGATGCTCAACCTGCACTGTATTCCCCTGATGTGCTCAACATTTACTATTTTGAAATCATCACCCCGCAAATGGCAGAATTGTTATGAAAGAACCTTTGCATAACAAAGATAGTTAATGAAAACAGAAAATTCCCTGGGTCCTCAACAGCACAGGATTTGGTTCTCAAGTTTGTAAATTAAGAAATTCACTACATATAGCTTTTTTTATTTCTAAATTCATTGTCACTATTGCTTCTCTTTCTACCTTAATGGGAAAAGATAGGAAAAAAAGGAGGGGGGCGGAATTAATGCTTAACCTAATAGTAGTAAACATATTTTTTCTTTACCTAGGGACTAACTGAAATAATTTTACCTAGTGATATTTCTAACAATAACAAATATTATGTTTTCAAAATAATATACAGAGAAAGATCACATTTTGTAAAAATATAAATCCAATTATGATACAAAACTATATGCATTATTCATATCTTTTAAAAGAGGGACTAGGGAGAAGTAAATACTAATAAGATGATTTTTATAAACAAAAATCACCTGTCATCACCAAAATGGCACTGTACGTATTTTTTATAGTAACTATCATAAAAATCTTAATGGAGTTAGGTATTCTCAGACACTGTCATTCATGAATTTTCAACTGGGTAACATCTTTGCCTGAGAAAACTTGACACATACATTTTTGTTGTTTTATTGAAATTCTTACTCTATAACTCAATTTTTCAAAGATCTGTATTCATTTCAAAATACCTCCATAATATATTTTTCTTTTAATTATATGTAATTAGTCAGTTCCTATTATTTTAGAAATCATACAAAATCACTTCTCAAGGAGATGACAGTAAATAGTAAAAACCATCCATGCAGGAGGCTAGAATAGTCACAGAGGGCAATATCTTGTGCTCTTGTCCGCAGTGTCTAGGGTGCATCTTGTCTCACATCTTTCCTACACTGACGATGTTGGTGAGTGTGAAATTTCCAATACTGCAAATACGCATTTTGGTTCCAAACTAAATGGTCTGCTAAGCTGTGTCATCACCACTGCTGATCATTAGTATTTCCTAAGGAAAATTATAATGGTATGAAGAACTAGTCCTTATGTGTAAATAGCATTTAAAAATATAAAAGAATGAACAGGAAGGTAAGTGGGATTATGAATACATTTTAAAATATCCTAGAATGGACTTTTGTAAACATACATGTACTAAAAATGTCAGTTTAATAGTTTATAGTATTTATCATTTTTAACTTAGATGTCTGGCCTAATTTTATATGGGCCTATGGGCCTACAGAGGAAAAAAAAAAATCTGTGTGAAATAAGTGTGACAACCAGTCCCATGTCTCACCGAAAGTCACAGCCCCAGTGAAATTTATCACCACTGTTAGTTCCCAGAAAGATAACTCAACTGGAGATGAGGTTGTTTTCACACATCTTATATTTTGCTTAAAATTAAGCTATTATTTCATTTTTTAAAATGTGAAAGATGGGTATATTAAACCATGGCCAATCATGACATAAGCAGAAACAGTTTCATATCACTCTGGAGCCTTCTGAGATTTAGAGATTGGATTAACTGCAGCATCCAGTGACCTTGCCCACATTACTATCTCTGCCGATAATAAAACCAGAGTTAGAATCTGAAAGTATATTTACTAGATAAAATCATTTTCTATCCCAACTTTGGATGGGGATATAAAGCTTAATAAATTGCACAAATAACCAACAGTCAATAAGAAAAAAAAAACAGTTAAGCAGAGATATTATGTCAAATATCATTGCCTCTCCTTAAACATTTTTGGAGAAGCACATCTGGAAGTTAAAATCGAAACTTATTTAGGATCAACTTTCTGAACAGCCTACATACCTCTCAGGAACATTAATGTTTGCTGCCAAGAGTCCCACCATGCAGAATCCAGCCTGTGACGTTTCTGTCTGTAATAAGATTATCCCAATATTCTCCCCACCCTAATCAGGGTGAGGTTACTCAACAAAAGGAGCTCTTAAACAGGGACCCAGGATCATGAGGGAGAATACTCACGAGACTTGGCAATTGAATCACATACTTACTGAAGGATTAAGATGTGTGAATACTCTGTGGAATTACTTGGCACTAAGAATGATGAACAAAACAGCTGACAAACTTGAGCCTTTGAGGCATTTTATGTAACTTGTCCACCAGAATAATTAAATTCTCTGCTGCAGCTGAAACTAAATATAGAAAAAAAAATATTTAGAGATAATTTAAACTATTTGACATATTGCATTAGATCAAATGTCTTTCAAAGGAATATTGAAACCTCTCCAGATCATATAGTAAAATATGCAAATAATCTCCCATTATAAAGATTTATTGGTGTTTGCATTTAAATATAAGGAAGTTTTACTAACCCTACATTAGAACTTACCTAACTTTAGACTTTCTCACTACATGTCTGTGTTAGACCAGGACGCAAGAAAAGACCACTGACTCCAATTAAAATCAAATTAAAGCAAGCTTATTATTTCAACCGGCCGGGCTGCCTCTCCCTCCCAAAACGGCGGGAACTAGAAAGCACCCCAGCTTTCCTGCAGCCCCGCTTTATAGCCCAGAAAGTTACACAAAGAGGGGTTACAGATAAAGAACTCTGACAAGCATCACACTAATGGTAGTTTACATTTTTTGCTGGCCCCAACATCAGAATTTATGAGGACCATTAGAGCCTCAGAGAGGGTCGTTGTCTGGCCAGGGAAGGCCAAGATTTATGAGGTGTCACTAAAGTTTCAGAGAGGGCTGCTATGTGGTCAGAGAGCCAGGCATGGGTGCGTTCAAGGCACGGGCAGGCATTCCGAGCAGGTTCAGAATTTTCAGTAATTTATAGTAAAGCCAAAATTATCTTTTCATGGCTTTGTGGCGAGATGCCCAATTTTAAGAAGAGATCAGGTTGGGTCTATCATCTGTCCATTCTTGACCAGCTTTCATCCTGAATCCCCTTTCTCATTCTAAAAAGGTCTCTTAGTGGAATTTATCTGCACCCATGTATCCAAATACCTCCTGAGGTCTAGAATAGATAGTTAGATGCCTGCTAGATATATCCCACAAAGTAGTCCATCAGGAATCATAAACTCAAGTTTGCCAGATAAAACCCATGGATTTTCACATTTGAATAAGCCCTTCTCTATATCTGTGCAAATGAAAAGACCAACCATTCTGACTAAGTATGGTGTGCACATGGCGGGAGAGAAAATACAGCCCAAGTTCCTCAAAAGTGCAAAGTGAGATTAGAGACCAATCCACACCAAGCCTAGATTATCCAAAACATGTGGCGCTGTACAAATAAAAGAGCACACAAAACATAGACCATGGCCAGGCACAGTGGCTCATGCCTGTAATCCCAGTGGCTTGGGAGGCTGAGACAGGAGGATCATGAATTCAAAGCCAGCCTCAGCAATAAGGCCAGGCCCTAAGCAACTCAGTGAGATAATGAGAGCAACTAAGAACAGAGCAAGGAGGAAGAGCAGGAGGAAAAGATTAACATTAAACAGAGACATGAGGTGGGAGGGAAAGGGAGAGAAAAGGGAAATTGCATGGAAATGGAAAGAGATCCTCATTGTTATACAAAATTACATATAAGAGGTTGTGAGGGGAATGGGAAAATAAACAAGGAGAGAAATGAATTACAGTAGATGGGATAGAGAGAGAAGATGGGAGGGGAGGGGAGGGGGGATAGTAGAGGATAGGAAAGGTAGCAGAATACAACAGTCACTAATATGGCATCATGTAAAAATGTGAATGTGTAACCGATGTGATTCTGCAATCTGTATTTGGGGTAAAAATGGGAGTTCATAACCCACTTGAATCTAATGTATGTGTCAAGAGCTTTGTAATGTTTTGAACAACCAATAAAAAAAAAAAGGAAAAAAAAATTGGGCTGGGGATGTGGCTCAGTGGTTGAGTAGACCTTAGTGCAATCCCCTGTACAAAAAAAAAAAACCACTGTAGACCATGTTACACTAATAAAAAAAGAGATAGAGTGATTATATTAATAGTAAAGTCTATTTCGGAGCAAAGAATATTATAAGGGATGAAAATGTCACTCTATAATGATAAAATGGTCAACTCATCAAGAAGGTAAAACAATCCTCAAGGTTAATGGACATAATAACAGAGCTTCCAACTGCTTTAAGTAAAAACTATATAATATATATATTTTACATATATATTTATTTTTATTTACATATATATTTGTTTTTACACATATATTTGTTTTGTACATATATATTTTTTACATATATATTTTTACAAATATGTACATATACATATATAAATAATTGCAAAGATAATTCTACAAGTATAGTTGAGAACTTTAATATCTTTTATATCAATAATTAATATATTAATATAAAAGTAGATAAAACAATAATATAAAAATAGACAAAAGTAAGAATACATAATACTATATCAAGCAACATGGATAAGACAGGGTCTCCCCAAGTTACACAGTCTGGCCTTGAACTTGTGATCCATGTGCCTCAGTCTCCCAAGTTGCTGGGATAACAGGTGTATGCCACTGTGCCTGGATCCCTATATCTATTGTTAGAATTGATCATGTAGTTAAAACTTTTTTAACAAACAAAACTCCAGACACAGACAACTTTACTCATGAATTCCACCAAATATTTACAGAAAATACAATATTGATTCTACACAGGCTCTTCCAGAAAATTGGAAAGAGTAACTACTTTCCTGAGGCAACAACTCTTATGAGGCATGGATTAAAGACATAAAAATTATCAAAACTAATAACACAAGACCTATAGATACTAACCTTCATGAATATGAAAGTAAAAAAACTTCCACAAAATATCAGCAAATAAAACTTTGCATGGAAAATAAAAAGGGGCAATAAGGATATGATCATGATAAAATAGTTTACCCCATAACACAAGTTGGTTTAACAATCAGATATCTATAAGCATAATTCACCATATTAACAAACTAAAAGGTAAAAAACATATGATCATCTCAATATTCAGAAAAACATGACAAAGTCTAATATGTGCTCTTAATATTATAAACAAACAAACAAAACCTCTTTGCAAGCTATGAATAGAAGGGAATATTCCTGACCTGGCAAAGAACAACTATGAAAATTTTATAGTTAGCATCACACTAAATGACATAAGACTAAACAATTTCCTCCTGAAATCAAGAGCAAGGCAAGGATGGCTGAAATCATCTCTTCTTTACAGCAGTGCATTCAAACCAGTGCAGTAGGTGAAGAAAGTAAAATAAAAGGCATCCAGATTGCAAGTGAAGAAAAACTCTTAATTTCTCCAGTTCTCTTACTATTGTACCTCTAACTTTATGATTTAGATTTTTTCACTTTTTACATACCTTAAATAATAAAAGAATTCCATAATTATATTAAAATTAGAACAAGGATATCTATCAACAATTATGCACTTCCTATAAATAACATGATTATTTTTGGTGAGATCATCAGGGAAAACTGCTATCTGTTTAATAAACTGAATATTATTTTATGGCAAGAACCTCCTGACAACCACTTTGAAATCTGTTTTTTTTAAAATCTTCTACTTACTTATCTATTTTGACCTAGAATTATCATTTAAATATTTGCTCCTGACAAACACAATGTCTAATCATAGGAAGCAAGTAAAACTAAAACAAAAGAAGAAGGATGTTAAAGGTTTGGGTATGAGATGTCCTCCAAAAGCTCACATATGAGTCAATGCAAGAAGGTTCATAGGAGACATGATTGAACTGTGCCTTAACCCAATCAGTAAATTAACCCCCTGATGGGGATTAACTGAGTGGTAACTGAAGTGGTGGGGTGTGGCTGGAGGAGGTGGGAATTGGGGCGTGACTTTGGGACAGTGAGTAGAGAGTCAGTCTCTCTCTCTCTCTCTCTCTCTCTCTCTCCCCTTCTTGATCATCATGTGAGCTGCTTCCCTCTGCCACACTCTTCCACCTCAAGTCCTCACCTCAAGTCCCAAGGAATGGAGCCTGCTGTCTATGGACTAAGACCTCTGAGATCATGAGCCCCTAAGAATTTATAATAAAATCACCTTTCCTCCTCTACAGTTGTTCTGGCTGGGTCTTTTAGTCACAGAGGTGAAAAAGCTGATTAAAACAAAGGACTAAAGACAAAGATCCCCTGAAAATAATTATGCCATAGTATCTCTTAAATTTCCCTCCTGTTACAAGCTAGCAAATTTAGCCTTTCAAAAATATTCCACAATATAATGGAATTCTTTGCATTTTTATCTGATAAGACTCACAGACGAATAAAAATTTTCATTAAAATCTTTATTATTTATTTGTTGCTAAGTTACTTGGTATGTACTTCTTCATAGTGATTCTTTGAAATGTGGTGTGTTCAGATCTATTTCACAATTTTATAATAAAATCACCTTGTAGATTCTATGTTTACAGTAGTTTTATTCTCACTCAGGAACAAACTCGAGTGAATAAAAAAAAAAGCATAAGTTCTTGGGCTTGCTAATGAATTGTTATGATGACACTTTTATTATCTTTATTAAAAATGACCATGCTAAGACTTATTTTTTATCCTAATATGAAGTAACATTGGAAGATTTTTGAAGAAAAATAATGGTATTTCTTTAGTAGGATGACCCTATGTCCCATTTCAATCTGTTAAGTTTTTCTTTACACCTACTAACCCAGTTCCACATAGTTCAGTATTTGTTCTGCTGAAAGTGTTCTAGTAAAAGTTTGGGTGATTAACTAGATGATGATTTTCCCTTTTAAAGAGACTCTTCTGAGCCTTAGGAAATGTTCATACCTTTTGATCCATTAACCCTTCAAGAAATCTGCATTAAGAAAATTGTCATGGATGCAAAGATATTCATTTGTATGCAAATATGTCCACTATGAGAGCATTTATAATCATAAAAACATGAACAACTTAAAAGTCCAACAATAGAACTGTTAAGTTTACAAATAAACGGAATATTATATAAAGCTTAAACATTTTTAAATGTTCAATGACTGAAAACATTCAAAATATAATACTGACAGAACAAATAATATACACAATGTGTTTATAATTTAATCCCTACTCTATCACATACATTGCATACATAAGGACATACACATTCACTCATCATTCAGAAAAACAGAAATTGCAAAATAATGAATGGTTATTCATGGATAACATACCCATAAATATATTATCTGGAATATA